TAAAAATAAATAAATATAAAGACAACAACAGTAAAAAAACAACTACAATAAACACAAAATAATTTCTTTAAATGCAAAAAAATACCAAGAAGTAGAAAGGAAAATAAACAGCATATAATAATATCTCAGTATTGGGTAGTAGAAGCTATGATGTGATTATGCATGGTGACATTAAAGCTATAGTCATACAAGAAGTTATGAAATGATATTTAAGAATGTTTATCGCCAAGATGATCAGTTAATTTGGTTGAAATAATCATAAAATAACGTTTCAGGGCTGTTTTTTTATTGTTAGGTCTAATGCGGTGTTTGTATTGGTAGTGTGAGTAATCCTGCATAATACAAAATTTTAATGTGGTGATAATGGCGTTCACAACCAATGATTGTCAGTTAATATTGCCGAAAAAAAATAAAAAATAAGAAAATACAACCACAAAAACTAATAATTACATGATGGTTAATGGCAGGACAATTTTGTACTACTCATAGTGCTAATATAGACCTAATCAGTATATACACAAAAGAAGGAATATAGTAAAGTACAAAAAGTAAGCCAATGTTAATAATTTAGGTAGCTAAGTATGTTTAAGAAGGAGTTGACTACAGAAAACAAAATAAGTGAGAAATAAAAGAGCCTAACATTATGTTATTAACAACAAAGCAAGTCATAGGTTTCGCGCTTAACATTGTCTCTGTCACTCAGAACACGGGCCAAGTATGGTATCGTTGAGTTCCTGTACTTGGTTGCACGAGCATGAATTATTTTTGATACTGATTTCTGGTTCTACTTGATGAGATACAAGGCGAGAGTTGGGAATAGACGGGGTGTTGGGAGTCGGAGAGTATGGTTTTTGACCATTTTTCGCATACACTCAGATGCCTTTCAACTAATGCAGTGACGAGCTGACTGAGTTTTACACCAATAGTCCTACTAATTACCTTCAACATCCTTCTCAGGATGGCATAGTGCTTTTTCAGTAGCCCAGGAAAGACTAACGGGGAGCAGTAAAGTAGAATAGGTAAGATACAAGAGTTGACAAATTGTGAGAGTAGAGGTTGGGTGATTCCGGATTATTAGACAATCTGGAATCTTACAACCTGTCCTTAAAGATAATGTTGAGCGTCAAGAGGTTAATTCTACCTGTAATTGGTATTACTTCCAAGGGTCGACGTGGAGCAACAAATTTGGTTTAGGTCACTTTATTGAGATCTCTTCAAGATATTTCGCCTATTACGTGAAAAAGGATGAACACTTTTGTGAACTTACCTATCTGCCAATTTTTTACGAGACTCACTGACATACCTAGAGACTGTTTTTGAGTTGTAGTATGAATAATTAGTTATCTTATGATGAGTAAATGTTTAGCACCAGGAAGTGTGGAACAAGTGTGATCAGTTCAGATTATAGACGAATCATAGGAAGATATAAATCGATTCCAATGGTTCGCTAATCGATGTTGCTTCACGATGAAATCGTAAATCCAGTCAAGTTTCTGCAAACCAACGCCTGACTTGCATATCAGTCTGATGCTCAATAGCAACAGACCCTTTTCAGGTATGCAGCTGTTTCGTCAGCCTAGTTTGAGACTCTTTGGCACTACGTTTCCTTCATGAGTGGTTGAATGATCTATGAGGTTGCCATGTAACCAGGTGGTTCTGGGTTCGAGTCCCAACAACCCAGTTGGTCCATGTTTTGTTCCCGACTTTCCTTAAAAACCTTACTGATTATATCCTGTAGTAATTCCGCAAATGAGGGAAGCGTATATATGAGGCTAGGAAAACTGAGGCTGTAAAAAAATAACACCTGAACAACTAAGACTTTTAGTACTGAAGTCTTATGTTCCACTTGGAAGAAAAGAGGAATTAAAAAGAAAAATTCATCTAGCAAAAATGAGTAATATCGTCTTGTTTACACTAGTTCACTCACTAGCCAGTCCTAACCTCGGGAAACGAGGAGAATTTCGAATGTGGGGACTAGTGACTTTATCCTCTAAGATCAATGCAATTGCTACAGGAACTTTTAAGATGAGGATAAAATTATAAGAAATACACTCAAAATAATATACGATTAAGTGAGTAATTCGATTATAGATAAAATTTTATTTTGATAAAGTGTCACAGTGTTATACAGTAATATTTTCTGATGACCACTTTTCGAGCACAATTTATTACTGCAGCTCATAATCATATCAAGGCATTCGCTGACACAACTTTCTTGTTTCATTTATATACATGAGTAAAAATTGATGATTAGACGTTTGAATAAAAATTACCATGGGATAATGTACATTCAGAAATAATAATATGAGTGTTATCAATCAAGTACAATCAGATGGGAAATAAGACGAGTGTTTTATAGTCATAATAAGTAACTTGTTATAATGTTATGATGTAAGTGAAATGAAATAGAATACAATTTAAGATTATTTATTATCCTCCTCTGATTTGACTGACTGGTGGTAATAATATCTTCCATACATATCTCTGGTGTTTACATTGAGTCACTTCTATTGCGAGTGTTGAGTGTAGGGAGACTCGATGAACCAGGATTCAGTAATGAACCTCTCTCTCCCCACCTGCCTATATTACTTTTTAGAATTTTGACTCTGCTAATCACCCTATTTTGCGGTTGTGTTAATGCACGCAGTACAATTGCTGAGTTTTTCTTTCTATATTACTTAGCTCCGTGGGATCAATCATTCTAACCTTAGTTAAATTCTTATGTTCTGATAATCTCACTACTCCTGATCTACTAGTTTGACCTATGTAGTTCACCTAACTTACAGTCATTGCAAGGTATTTTGTAAATTACGTTAATTTGTCGAATTGGGTCCACCGGGTCCTTTAGCCTACAGAACTTGTTTCAGATATCCCCTCCTTATATGGTAAAACTGTAGATACCTTATATTCTATCCTATTTATTATTGTTATTATCATTATTAGTTTCACTATTATTTTTATTTTGCTCCTGACATTCTTTGTTGACCATCTATAATAATGAACAGTACTCACTTACTATAGAGAAGCCATCTATCCAAGACTGAACTCATTAAAGTTCATCCAGAATAATTTGCCACACACACACAGCTGAGTCCTTCAGGTCACCACGGAACACATAGGGTTTCAGGCTTTAAAGTTCCAGTAGCTATGATATTATTTGATTTTACGCGGTGGGGTTACTGTCCTCACACCCACCCTTTTCTCCTTTTCGGTTCAGTAGCGAGGTTTTAGAGAGCATACGTCAACAAGACATTTATTTATTTTGTTTATTTAGTTATTCTATGTACCTTTCCCTCATTATTACGATTATTATTAGTATTACTATTGCTACTATTCTCACTCTGAATTGTCCCCACTTCTCATTCTAAATCCAAAAATACTTTCACAATATTGAATTCTACCTTATCAAATTTCACACCATGTTATGTAACATTCTATATTCGCCTACTAATCGTATAATTATGCACCACTTTCCAACATCTATAGACCTTATGAATTATTCTATATATGACATTAATTGTTTTGCCACTTGACGTTAAACTATGATTATAATCACAAATATTTTAATTGCATTTCGCATTGCTATTATTCTTATTTCACGTGTTCACACCTTTGGTTCAATTCCCTTACCGGTTATAATTTCTTAAGGAAAACCATACATATACGATTGTAAAGCTTGAGAATCAAACATGCCCTGGATGAAAAACTTCGACCGGAACAGGCTAGATTCAGGAGTCATGCATTGATCAGATCGCCACATTACGGATCATCATTGAACAAAGCTTGGAATGGAAGTCAGCTCTATATCTCAACTTCATCGACTTTGAAAAGGCCTTCGACAGCGCAGCGTTGATCGAGAGGTGATTTGGCAACTGCTTCGATACTATGGGGTGCCACCGACAATTATACATCTCATCCAACAGCTGTACGACAATGCTGCATGCCAAGTAATCCACAACGGGAAAGTTACGGAATCCCTCGAAGTGAGGACAGGAGTCAGACAAGCTGGCTGCCTACTATCGCCAATGGTTTTTCTGATTGCAGTAGATTGGATAATGCGACAGACAGCGGGCAATGAGGAAACAGGCATAAAATGGACTCACACAAAAATAGAATTGGAGGATCTGGACTTCACCGATGATATATGTCTGATTTCCCACAAACTGGAAGATATGCAAGTGAAAAGCAACAAGTTGGCAGGAGAAGCATCAAAGATAGAACTTCAGATGAACATAGAGAAAACAGAGGTGATGAAGATTCCTGGGAAACACCACCAACAGCAGCAACAACAACAGACAAAGATCAGCATAAATAGAAGGAACCTGAAAGAAAAAACGACCTCTTTTATCTAACTGGGAAGCATCGTTTCAACCACAGGTGGACGGAACTGACGAGGATATCAAAGCAAGAACCGGAAAAGCAAGACAAGCTTTCACTACTCTCAAGTCTGTGTGGAGGTCAACAGCACTCAGCATCAAAAATAAGATCCAGATTTTCAACTCCAATGTGAAGTCAGTCAGTGCTACTATACGGATCAGAGACTTGCACTGCGCGTCATAAAGAGCATCTCAAACAAACTACAGACCTTCATTAACAGTTGTCTTCGCTCAATACTCAAGATCAGATGCCCAGCGAGAAAAGATCAGCAACAGAGATCTCTGGGAGCGAACCAACCAGGAAAAGATTGTGAAACAAATAGGCAGGAAGAAATGGAGATGGATTGGCCATACTCTGAGGAAACCATCAAGTGACATCACTAGACAAGCTCTGGAGTGGAACCCGAAAGGGAATCGGCGGGTTGGTCGTCAGTACAAGGGTGACTTGGGGGAGGTCATGTGAAGAGGAGATGAAAACGTGTGGGCAGACATGGAGCCAGATGAAGACTCTAGCAGAGAACCGAACGCAATGGAGACGCACAGCCGAAGCCCTATGTTCTTCTAGGAATTAAAGGAAACAACAACAACACAACAAAGCTTGATAATAAATTCTCTGAATATTGTGCTCAAAATAATTTATAAAAAAGAGAGGATATCATACAAAAATTGAGGAGTTGTGCACAAGGCTTATGACAAGCAAATTAACGACGCCATTAGTTCATTTAAACAAAATATACATAAATCATTGAACATTAAACATCGGTATACTATTTTTACATGAATTTATTTACAAATTGTTCAATAATCATTTGACTTTTATTCACTCCATATAACAAAGTAGATAATCGTTTTATTTCACACAGCAACTCATCTTTACTACTTAAAATATTAACACCAACAGAATCAACAACTTTCTTTTCAATAAATTCATCTAATTCACTGAATTCACTAGGTAAGTTGAGCTGAATTAAATCAAAATGGCCGAAATAATGAATCGATATATGCAGTAGATTGATTAATTCCCATAAATATTCACAGCTAATTGTACCAAAATTCAATTGAACCCATTGAACAGATGATTTTAAACACCATAGGCCAGCATTTTGTGCAAATAACCAATTTGACTGATTACTTTTATCCTGATTTGAAATGGGTGGGTGTTTTTGAAGAAGTTTTGAATGAATTAAATATTGTCTGCCAATAGTATCAAATAAACTGCCTAAAGTATCGTTCAGTGGCCACCAGCAATGAGTTGAAGGAAGGGTACCAGCTTGTTGAACAGACTGGATAGCAGTTTTTAGTTTGTCTAGGGATTGAATAGACTCCCATGGGATTGATAAGAGCTGGATATATTAGAGAGAGAGAAGAGGGAAATGGGAAATAAAGAGATAGGTGATGAGCAAAAGTAAATGGCATATATAATGGCAATAAAAGATGCACTGGATGCAGAACTCTGCCAGCTCGCCGGAACAAGCTGGATTCAGGAAAGGCAAATCATGTGCTGATCAAATTCCAACTCTAAACAGCGTCACCAACACAAAGCATAAAATGGTAGTCAAACCTCTCTCTACCTCAAATTCCTTCATTTATTTTGATGTGGCTGTGTTTTCTGAGCTGGATACTTAATTTGCGAAGCTTTTATCACCCTACTTACTAGGCAACATCTTCAGCGCATACTTCAATTCATTGAAGTGAGCTTTCAGATTTCTCCACGAGTTTATTAATCATCTCTCCTGGTTACCTTGGACGTGATTGGTTGTTTTTGTGTGTTTTCACACCTTCTAGGTTACTTGTATTGTCACTCATTGTTTCTTTGACTTGAACTCTGACCTTTGTGTGTGAGGTTTCTTTCTTATCGATTGGTAAATTTTGTCAATCTCGATGTGTCTATTGATTGATGATTCACTAGAATGCCAAGCTTCTAAAAATTCTCTAGCATTCTTGTTGTTTCCTCTATCTAATATTTGAACGTTGTCCCAGTCGAATTGATGTCCGTGGTTGTGTGTCTGTATACAGTGAGGCCATATGAGGGAGTGGATGTCATGTCTTTTGACGGCTAGACGAAGAGGAAGGGCGTCCAGTTTAGCCAATGTAGTGTTTTTCGCAGTTGATACATCATTTACAAAATAAATTAGAAGCTTGGCATTCTAGTGAATCATCAATCAATAGACACATCGAGATTGACAAAATTTATCAACCGGTAAGAAAGAAACCTCACACACAAAGGGTCAAAGTTCAAGTCAAAGAAACAACCAGCACCAATACCAATACAAGTAGTCTATAGGGTATGAAAACACACAAAAACAACCAATCACGTCCAAGGTCACCAGGAGAGATGATTAATAAACTCGTGGAGAAATCTAAAAGCTCACTTCAACGAATTGAAGTATGCGCTGAAGATGTCCCTTAGTAGGGCGATGAAAGCTTCGCAAATTAAGTATGCAGCTCAGAGAACACAACCACATCAAAATCATCCACCTGAGCTACAAATCTTCTCTACCATACTCAATTCCTTCATTTACTTCGAAAAAGCCTTCAACAGCCGGGGTTGACGAAGTCACATGGAAACTGCTTCAACATTTTATCAGCCTCATTCAACAGTTGGCCATATATGACAATGCCTGCCACATGTTAGGTGATTCACAACAGAAAACTCAGCGAAGCATAACTTGAAAGTGAATACAGGAGAAAGACAAGGCTGGCTGGCTGCCTATTATCACCTACAAAGACATTCTTAATTGTGGTGGACTGACTGGATCATGCGTCAAACTGTGCATTGGGAGTGAGTGAGAAGACAGGAATACGCTGCAATGACCGACAAGAAGACTCTAGAAGATTTGGATTTCTTGTGTGGATGATTCATATCACACACACTCGAAGAATTGCGGGTGGAAACCAACAAACTGGCTGAAGAATATCAGTGTAGAGAAGACAGGATTGCAGGTGGAAATAGAGAAGACGGAGGTGATGAAGGTACTGCCACATCACCACCACCAACACCACCAACAGACAGCACTAATCATTGTCAACGGGAAAAATTGGAAAGAGGTTACTTCTCTTGCCTATCTAGGCAGGATCGTTTTAACCACACGTAGTCGGAACGGAAGAAGAGTACTCAATAAGTGCAACATCACACACACATACAAAGCAATCTTACCCATATAAAAGACAAAACCCCAAAAGATTCTCTACCTAATTGTGTCTGCAAAATAAAATGCTTCGAATGTGATGCGATATACATCGGGAAAACATCGCCAGACAAAGAAATTAAGGTAATCAGAAGAAATGAACACCGTAGAGCCGCCTCTGTTCGACCACCAAGAAATCCAGTTATTGAAATACAAAAGCTTCAGAAATCATCAGCCATAGCTCGCCAACACACTACACTACAGAACCAGTTCACAAAATTGATTTTGACAATATTCAAATAATCCAGAAAAATTTCAGAAATCACAATGAACGTCTTACATCATCAGAAGCAACTCATATCAAATGGAATCGAAATTGTCTGAACTGAATACGAATGATGGACTAAAACAGAATTTGATCTGGTTACAACACCCACCCTACTTCCCCATGAAATGATTAAATCAACACAAATGTGATAAGCAATCTTACCACGTAAACTCATGTTGCTTTTATAATTTTATACGCTTATCAAATCCAACAATCTAAACATTGTTTTGTTATCTTTGCCAATCGGCCAACTTGACAACAACATAAAAATGACCCCATGTTGATGAACGATGATGAAGTTGTTATATATAAGCTGAGTGGATTTTGTAAATTCTGGTTTAATAATACCTTGATGACCCTGTTAGCAGCATTATATAGTGGCTTACGATTTTTGAAACTTTTCTAGTTCACTAACTGGATTTCTCGGTGATTGAACAGATGCTCTATGAGGTTCATTCCATCTGATTATCTCAACATCTCTTTGGGAAGGTTTGTCCAATGTATATCGTTTCACATTCCAAGCGTTTTACTTTGTAGAAACAATTAGATTGAGAAACCGTAGAGATTTGATGGACAAGGAGGCTTCGCAGTGTGTGTGTGTAACTTATGTTTTGAAGAAAACTCTGATATTGTACTTATTGAGAACTCTTCTGATATTGTCTGACGTAAAAAATTACCTCGTGGTGATGAACGATGATTGAGTTGTTATATATATATATACGAATCGGTAGAAGTTAGAATTCATGGGCTGGCCATTGAATCGGTTCCCAGTGGCTGAATGGTATACGAGCTAGCTCAGCTGGTAACCGGAAGGTCCTAGGTTCGTATCCCGGCTGTGGGTGCGTACTGCTGATGATTCCCAAACTAGACTGGCAAAACAGCTGTCCAGTATTCCAACTCTTGTTTTCAATGGTTCTCTAACAGATATTGCCGTGAGAGCTGTCTGCTATCCAAAATTGGTAGACAGCAATTTACATCAATGTTTACGTCCCAAATCTTGGTCATGAGAAAAAAAACAAAGACTAACTCAACAACCAATCACAGCAGACCTAGTGTGGGTGGATATGATTCACAGATATATGGTTTGACCTTCAAAGAAACGGCCACAAAGAGACGACAGAATAACCTTCAGCGAGAAAACAACCAATCAGAAGACGTCGTTTCTCTGTTAATAATAAAGTTAATAATAATGCACATAAAAATCTATAAATATCTGTTTCCTGACCCTTGCCTTCTGTCGTTACAACATCAATCCGTGGTCAGCTCGTTAAAATATTTATATATCTTACTTTATCAACAGCCTGTTTCCACTGGTTTAACATTTCATCAGTTGGATTAGTAGACAGTTGATTTGACAATTTGAAATCCAACGTTGAAGTAGTACAATGTTGACAATTACACACGAAAAAGTATTGTTGTTTAAGTAGACTGAGTCTTTCAAAACTTGATGGATAGTGTAAATAATGTGGACCATAACAATTGAGTACCTCGGATCCAGGCAGAATTGTTTTCAAACAACGAAGAACTATTAATGAATTCTATAAGGAAAGAAATAATATTAGGAAAAAAAAGATTTATCATGGTCAACAGCATTGTTGTTTTATTTTATTAAAGAATTCTAACTCGCATCTAGTTCACTCATCTGCTAGTAATGAGCAAAACAAGAAAGTGGGGGGATTGACAGGTATAGGGCTAACAACTTCACAGCTTGAATCATTGAAGCCCTCCATGTTCTATTCGGAAGATGAAAAATGAAGAAGATATCAGTAGCATTGTTTTCGATTCTGAGTGGAACATAGGGCATCGACAGGACATTTCCAATTCGTCCTATTTTCTGAGGCCCTCTTCAGCTGACTGGTTCTATGATTCCTCATAGGCCGTCGACTTCTCCTCCTCGACTTCTCCATATCAACACAACACCAAGGAGTGCAGTGCTCAAAGCTTGATCAACCTCATTCAACAGTTGGCTGGCTATATGACAATGCCCGCTACGTGTCAGGTGATTCACAACGGAAAACTCAGTGAAGCCTTGCTTTGAAGTGAATACAGGAGTAAGACAAGCCTCGGCGCCTATTATCACCAGCGATGATATTCTTAATTGTAGTGGTCTGAATTATCCGTCAAACTGTGCGTTGGGAGTGAGTAAGAAGACAGGAAAACGTTGGAACACCGATAAGAAGACTGTAGAAGATCTGGATTTTGCGTGTGGATGATTTTTGATTAATGTCAGGCAAACTCGAAGACTTGCAGGCAGGCGAAAACCAACAAACTGACTGAAGAAGCAGAGCAGAGAAGACAGGACTCCAGGTGAATATGGGGAAGACGGGGGTGATGAAGATAACCAACCAACCAACAGCGACAACAAACAGTACCAATCACCATCAACGGGAGGAACTTGAAAGAGGTTACTGCTGTCACCTATCAACCACAGGCGCCAACGGATGAAGATGTCAAAACTAGAAGTGATTGGAAAGGCAAAATACACCTTCATCAACCTGAAACCGGTTGGGAAATCTTCTGCTTCACTCAGCCAGCCAGCGTTAACAACAAGAATCAGATTTTCAGCAAAAATGTGAAGTCAGTCAGTCATTTCTTCTACACGGGTCAGAAGTTTGCAATGTGCGTGAGTCACGAAAAGGATTTCCAACAGACTACCAAAGACTTTTATCAGCAGCTGCCCCCTTCACTGACTACATACTGAGGACCAACTGACAGGCTGGCAGGCCAGAGAGAATTAGCAACAAGACACTGTGGTGATGAACAAAGCAACAAAGCGAGAGCTGATTGCTCAACAAATAGGTAGGAGGAAATGGAGATGGACTGATTGGGTATACACACCCTTGAGGGGACTGTCGAATGGCATAGCGTGCAATGCAGGCCATCGCTCGAGTGGAATCCCAATATAAAGCAACGAGTAGGTAGTTACTGCGAGGGTGACATGGAGGAGATCATGTGGGGGGAGAGGGAGGAGATGAGAGATTATGGGAAGTCGTGGGTCTAGCCAGCTGAAGAGGACAGCGCTAAATAGAAGAAAGTGGAGATGTGTTGAACCCACTCTGAACCCAATGGAATAATAATTAAACAGAATTCCACTGTAGGATACTAAAACAAAATTGCTGTCTAGTGTTTCTCCTTCCAGTGGTTTTCTAAGCGTTTTCAATCTGTAACAGGATCTACAGGGAAATAAATAAAATCACTAGAAACACTAGTTACTTAAAGGTAAAGTACGTTTGGGTTTCTCACTGTCATACTCTTTGCAAACGTTCTACGAAGTAATCCAAGTAAATCCAGTTTTCAACCGATGACAGCAGTTAATAATAATAATAATAGTATCAGCTATAAAGTCAGTTGACTAGCAATGGAATCCAGAATAAGGCGCATTTCGTCCTATTTAGGACTCGTCATCTGGATGTAACTGCATTCCCCACTGAGTCAGTAATGGTGTTCCCACCGAGACCCGAACCTGATGACCATAGTTTCAAACACCAAAGTGTTATCCACCAGACACCAGAGCCACGAGATTTTCCCATCGACTGATTGGATCAAAGTGCCCGGTCTCAGGTTGACATGTCGGCTCCTTGTACAGACGCTTCGATGATGTCTAGTCGTGTAACTTGAAGATTGAGCACTTCGGTCCAATCAATCGACGGGGAAATCTAAATTGAATTAAATATCAGCTGTCTTCTGGGAATTAAGTTTAAACAAAAAACAGAACACTCAGCCCCGTATAGAATCTTCAACTAATTATACATCTTTTTAATTCATGAAAAATTCCCATTCGAACATTAGTAGACAGAAGACCAGTAGTTCGGCGAATTCATTTTCATAGCTGTACAATCGCAAATATATATGGTTGTTTTGTATGTGTGTACATTAAATTTGTCAAACGAAAATACAATTAGTAAGTTCAGATGAATTGGATGTTGATATTAGAGGGTAGTAACAAAAGTGATGAGTTGTCACAAACGATTGTTAAAGAAGAGTTACGTAATGAAACGAAATTACAATTATTAAGTTCAGGTGAATTGAATGTTGTTTGTTTGATTTGACTTAACTTTTATTTGTATGCTTATTTTTCTAACTACTTAAAACCCTTGTGTAATTCCGTAGGTTATTTTGTTTCCATGTACACGCTGAGCACAATTCTTTCATCAAATTATTCACGTTATTACGTAACTCTTCTTTAACAATCGTTTGTGACAACTCATCACTTTTGTTACTACTCTCTTATATCAACATCCAATTCATCTGAACTTACTAAATGTATTTTCGTTTGACAAATTTAACGTACACACATACATACAAAACAACCATATATATTTGCGATTGTACAGCTATGAAAATGAATTCGCCGCCGAAAAGAGACTGTCCTCTGAACTACTGGTCATCTGTCTATTAATTATACATCGACAGTAAGACGTATGATGTGAAATCATTATTTTCGAAACAATACTGAGATCTCTGTGACAATTTCCTTTTATTCTTGAAGTGTACAACGATAGGATGACAATTTATTTACAATTTTTATGAGTTGATGTTGCGATTCATAGACATAACTGAAAGACTGAAACACAAAGAAATTTAGGAAAGTAGACGTGTCAAGCCGGATGACTGTATGACTGACTGGTTTCAACGTAGGACTTTGCACAGACATGCAACAGGTCAAGTTGCGACACTTCCTCCATATAGCGCACAAAGCAACAGAAGAGAGTAAAAAGAGATTCAAAAGAGATATAATAAACAGAAATACTAGGCAAATAGAATAATAATATGGAAGAACAATAAAATTTTATCGGATATGAAAAATCACAAACAGTGAATACATCTGCACTAGCTATTGACAACGAGGATATTGAGCCATATCACCAATTATCTCCAGATACTATCATTGGTTCTTACCCTCCGGAGGACCCCAACCAATCAGTCAGGTAGCCTACCCATCCCTACGTGGCTCGCTTAAACCAACTGTTGTGGATTTATTTCATTGACTGATGAAATCATGTTTTCGTTTGATCACCACTAACTAAGCCTTTTCCAACCTGATTCATCCTACGTTAGTCAGCTTACATTGTCCGTTGTAGAGGAAGGCTGTCGACGTCTAAGCTAGGCGTGCACGACAAATCTCGTAACCATCTCTCTCAATCGATTCACCTGCTTCGCAACCTCGTCGATCGATTTCCCCTCCAACTCACCTAGTACTCGACCGAGGCCTAACCTCAATATTGCTCACCTTATTATACCACCACCTAACACACGGAGACAGAACACAGGCAGCTAGCCAGGCTTTTCATGTCTTTCACTTTCGGTGGTCATGTCTCACTCACAGCCATAAAGGAGGACGGGCTGGAATGCTGAGCAGTACACACGCCCTTCGATCGACGGCCAGCCAGCCAGCCGGATATCACGTCTATGCCATAGATGGCATAAGTTGACGTACGCCAAACAAGCCTTCTGTATCCATACTGAGATTTCATCAGCAATAAGATCAACCCTCTGGCGTTGGCTGATGCAACTTCCCTCCAAATAAGTGAAGTGGTCAACACACCCAAACAACCACTTCACTCCTATCTATCTTTAAGCTAGGAGTGGGTCGATGTAGTCCAGTTCATCATCTTACATTTCATAGCAGGAGCGAATCGAAGATTTGAAGAGTGATCACTGATCAAGTTGTTGAGACGACTCTACTCTATTCTGTCAGCGTCTCCACATAGGAGGGAGGGCTATATCATCTGCATGTTTTAAGTCCACAAAGCTACTATTCCCTGGTGGTAACAGGTCAAACTCTGAGTTGCTGAAGTCAGTTAAAGTTAGGCTGGATTGGAATTATGGTATCCCAGTGATTTAAACAGGACGCTAACCTCCCTTCTTCAAAACAAACATCATGTATGCCAACCAATTTATCACAGATTGATGCTCTTGTTAATACACTTGTAGTTGCGCAAACGAATTTCCCACAAAAGTCGATTCGCCAGCCTATTGTTCTACCCGCTATTAGCAGCGACAATACGATACGATACCACCGAAAACGCGACTCAACAAGACAAGACGAGAAGACAGACCGTTGACGTGGACAGCTTCCACTGTCTCATACCAACACTGAGAATGACTGACAGTGCTCGCGTACGTGTATAATTCAAATGACCCTGAGAGACAATAATCACATAGATAAATGATAACAACCAACAACCAATGGGATTTCCAGGTCATACTTGGGCCGACAGAAATACAACCAAACGTGTAGCAGCACATGTAGAAAATGTGGGTGAATTTATCACCGGCCCCCACTGTCAAAGAGAAGAACACGAACGTGTACAATAAAATTAGTCCCCCCTTTCCTTTGAGTCAACTTGGAAACGTACTGTCTGGGATCTCTTGCGACTGGATTGCCTTCTGCACTGAGATTCACTTTTGTTCTGAGGCTCCCGTTGTTTTGCCTGCGCAGTCTAAGTGTGTCGGCGTCTAGACTTTGGTTGGCGAACCTGCCTGACAACATTCATCTACGTCACCAGTAGTGTGGCATCGTCGACATTCATTGTGTTTGTATGGGCATGATTTGATGCAGTGCGAAGCCACACGGTGCCAGCACGCTGAAGGCGGCGTCTGCTATGGACGATGCGGTGATTTCCACTTCGACGGTACTGGATACACCGCATTTGTTTCGGCTTCACTGTGGCCGCCAGACTCGATCAAGCTGGTATCTTCGCGAAGCTTGCTGAGTCGCTGATACTCTTCACCAATGTCTTTCAACGTCACTTGTGGGTCTTGTCCACGTCTGTTCAACAATCGAGTCCTTATGTCAACGAACTTGAATGGCTGCAGACCACAAGTCAAAGTCTCATTTTCCATGCGTCGTCTTTGCTCGCAAAGTCCATTCCAAATAGGTGTTCATAGCTGCAGAACCAAGTGTCGAATGTAAGCTTTGCATCTGGGTCATACACAAATTGAGAAATGCTGCTACCAATATTGTCATTAGCTGGAGATGAAGCATCACGGGATGATATCCGTCGACCTGCAAGCAACTCCATCACATTTGCAAGCTGGTCCATCAGTTTCTCTAGGCATGAAACGTTTATCTCCACTTCATTCCCAGCACCAATTTTCACATGGTCGTTATTACACCTGTGGTTGCGCCAACAAATTTCCCACAAAGTCGATTCACGAGCCTACTGTTCTATCCACTATTAGCAACAACAGCGCCAACACGATACGATATCACCAAAAACGTAACGCAAGAAGACAAGAAGAGAACACTGACTGTTGTCACTGGAAAACTTTGACTGTCTCATATTTATCAACAGTGAAAATATCACAAGAAATATTACTTTACTACCTACCTACCTACCTCAAAATTATGAATAATATTCGGATCACAAGAATGATTCAATAGACTGACACATGGAAATAAACCTGTTGCAATTCTTGCTTGTTTTAATCGTCTAACAAAAGGATATATCTCTTTCAAATCATCCATTGACACATTGAATGTATTAGGCAGACATGTTTTCAAATCAGGATAGTCAGTTTGAATTTCTGTGATAGCATGTGCATTACACTGAAGACGTCTTAGTGTATCAAAACACCAAAGACCTTGAATAAGTTCATTTTCATTTTCAGCGGATTTCAAATTGGTTTTATTATTATTATTACTATTGTAATTTAACAGTTTTGATATCAACCAACCAGTAAGCGCATATTCAAATAATTCTTCTACAGGAAATTCATTGAAATGTTCAATTAATTGATCAATACTGAAAGCACTTGCTTCTTGTGTATCTGGATAGCTTTGACGTAACCATGCTAGACGAAAACATAAATGTCCCAAACCGATTGAATTTAATAGAAACATAAACCTATAAGTATTAAAATAAAAAAATACAGATATGATGGAGAAGATTTGTAGCTCAGGTAGATGATTTTGATGTGGTTGTGTTCTCTGAGCTGGATAGTTAATTTGGGAAGCTTTCATTACCCTACTGCTGGACCTTGGACAACCAATCACGTCCAAGGTCACCGGGAGAGATGATTAATAAATTCGTGGAGAAATCTAAAAGCTCACTTCAAATTGAAGTATGCCCTGAAGATGTCACCTAGTAGGGCGATGAAAGCTTCACAAATTAACTATCCAGCTCAGAGAACACAGCAACATCAAAAAAATACAGAAATCGATATTATGCAACGAGTGCCAAAGTACTCTTTGAATAATGCAATATAATGTTATAAGAATAGAACGTGGGGACTACTGCAAATTAGTTGATCACGGATTGATATCAGTTAGAGAACCAAGGAGTACTGGGCAGCTGATTCATCTAGTTTGGGAATCATCAGCAGTACGTACCCACCACCAGGGTTCGAACCCAGGACCTAATTCTTACAAACCAATTATTGAAAATCAATCTGATGCTCGCTAGTGACTTGTTACAAGACGGAGTTTCTTTGAGTTCTATTGAGAAGTTGTGGCCAGTAAGGTCCATTCAGTCGGCAGTGAGGATGGATTTCCCACCGATGACATTGGTTGGTGCCAGTCTCGCTAAATACCACGAATTGGTAGAAGTTAGAATTCATGCAGTGGCCGTTGAAACGGGTCCCAGTGGCTGAATGGTCAGTGAGTTAACGTGCCTTGTAACCGGAAGGTCCTGGGTTCGAATTCCAGTGTGTTCGTACCAACGATAATTCCCAAAGTAGGCTGATGAAACAGCTGTCCAGTACTCCAACCCTGTTTTTCACTCTGTGGTAAAACTCGTAGAAACAAATCTGATTCTTACAAACCAACTATTGAAGACTATGGTAGAGTACAATTCCATTATGGATAAAATTCCTATTTTGATAAAGTGTCACAGGGTTCTACAGTAATATTTACTTATGACCACGCTTTGAGCACAATTCATTAGTGCTGATAATCACATCATGCCTATTATCTTTAAATTCAAGGGCAAAATGTTTAGACGAAAAGAAGGTGGGACCACCAATATACCCAATCGTAGAAGATACCTTTATGGATAGCTGGGAAAATATTACCATTAATTCATGGATAATCCCCATCCAGGCATTAATGAAAACAAAACACGTAGATCAGCGAAGAGTCTCTTTTCGGCGGATTCATCTTCTTAGCTGTACAATCGCAAATATATATGCATTGTTTTGTTTGTATGTGTACATTAAGTTTGTCAAACAAAGTTACAATTGGTTAAGGTTAATTTTAACTAAACAAGTGAAGGTTGGTAATACAGGTCAAGAAAACTAGGGTAGTAACAAAGGTGATGAGATGTCAGAAACAATTGTAATAATAATAGTGAGTTTTACTCGGGATGCACATAGAAACAAAGTAGAAATTATGTAAGAGATCTAAGTGGATACAAGAATTACAATTGCTTAAGGTTATTTTAACTAAACAGGTAAAGGTTGGTAATATAAGTCAAGGCAATTAAGTGCTAGGATAGTAACAAAGGTGATGAGTTGTCACAAACAGTTGTTAAAAGAAGTTATGCAATAATAATATGAATATTTTGATGAGTGAGTTTTACTCAGGATGCACATAGAAACAAAGTAGATAATACGAAACTATGTAAGAGATCTAAGTGAATACAAGAATTATAACCAACTAAGGAACAGGCAAAGAAACAAAGTTAAGTTATCAGAATAAAATAAAATAAAATCAAAAAATCAAAACATTGTTACCATGAGAGTAGAAGTGGTTGAGTAATCTTCTTTTGTATGCACAGGTCCGGTTTTTCCATGTGAATGGCTAGAGCTTCAGCCATACAGAGGAGACGAAACCGTATTGCCTTTGATAGGTTGTTCTTGACTCTGTAGATTACTTCGAAGGAGGCGTTCGTTGAAATGCAATGATCAGTGCTGACCAGGTGTTCAATTATCGCACTCCTTATTGCACCAGTATTGCCTTTTCGCAACCATGCTGGATAGTGTTCTTGAATCCTCTTGGACAGGATGCGCGTCGAACGACCGATGTACCTGGCTCCACAGTAGCAGGTGAACTGGTATATGCACATAGAAGTGGCCAGATGCGGGATCTTGTCCTTGAGGCTTCTGCAGATTAGTGGGCGACCGGAGAACACTATTCTTAGCGTTGTACAGCTAAGAAGATGAATTCGCCGAAAAGAGACTCTTCGCTGATCTACGTGTTTTGTTTTCATTATTACCATTAACACATTTAATCCTACTCCAAAGATATGATGGGGATATGTGGATGATACTTTCATTCATAGTGCTAAAAACAGAACATATCTCTCTAGCTTCTTCACACACACATAAACTCACTAGTAGAGGGAATAAAATTCACATTTGAATCAGAAAATGAACAAGGAGAATTAGCTATGATGTTAGATTGCAAGATAAAACGAACAGAAGAAGGTTAACTAGCGTTTATAAAAAGCCAACGCATTCTGTCCATAGATATTTAGACTTTAATTCATCTCATCCGTTAACTGTTAAGGAAGGCTAAGTTAAGTGTCTAACATCGAAAATCCTAAATGATGAAATGAAACAGATAGAAGAAACGTTAGAAGATCAGAAAAGGTCAAAAGTGAAATAAAAATGATAGTGAAACTAATAATGATAACATAAGTAAGGAGGAATATAAGGCATCTACAGTAGTTTTCCCATATAAGGAGGGGATATATGAAACTCTCCCTATAGATGATTCTTAATAAAGCAAAAATTAGGGTGGCATTTAAACTTACAAACTCACTCAGGTAGGACAAGCTCTGTAAGTTAAAGGACCTTGTAGGTTGAACCACTTAAACAAAATAATATAATTTACAAAGTACCTTGCAGTGACTGTAAGTTAGGTGAACTACATAGGTCAGACCAGTAGATCGGGAGTTAACCAGACTAACCCCGAGAAGATAAGTAATTTAGAAAAAACCTCAGCAGTTGCACTGCATGCATTAACACACAAACACACAATAGGGTGGGTGGACAGAGTCAAAATTCTAAAAAGTGCTATAGGTAGGTGGGTTGAGAGAGAGGTTGATTACTGAATCTTCGTTCATAGAATCTACACCGAACACATACAATAGGAATGACTAGTCACTAATACCAGAAATATGGAAAATATTACTACCAATCAAATCAAAAGATGAGAAATAGTGGAATTATATAAACGAAGTTGGACAGTTGTGTAAGTGACTTGATTTGATAATGAGCTGCAGTAATAAATTGTGCTTGAAACTTGGTCATCAGTAAATATTACTGTATAACACTCTGTGAGACTTTATCAAAATAAAAAATTCTCTCCATAATGGAATTGTTCAGCTTAATCCAAAATGTGATAACTATGTAAAACCAAAAAAGAACCAAAAAGAAAACTCACCGACATTCAGCTAGATGCCATACAGGTTGTTGAAAATCTTCATATAAATACGCCGCGGAGTTTTTCATTTCTCTACACCGCTGATGATAATTACAATCGCTGGATAATTGACAGTATGCTGTATCACAACAATATGGGCAGATAAAGCCTATAGAGTTTAATGGATTAAAACACTTTGAACATTGATTCATACGTTGTGATGGTAACAGTAATAAATATTTGAAATTATTATGATTATCATTATTATTATCATGATTACTGTTGGGATGTGTAATCCAACCACCAGCTGGTTCAACAGCTATAATATCTCCTGGTTCAAATGATTCGGTAGCGATAACATGTCGACCTTTCTCAATGGTTTGATCAACACGTACACCATTTGATAAACCGTAATACTGAAAGAAAGAAAAAGGAGAGGTTTTATAAGACAGAAGAACTGGCTATCAAGAATAAAAGTAATAATGATAATAGATGTTTCGTCAGCTCAGTTTGCGACTCATCATCAGTATGTACCCACAAATCAACTCTTGAAAATTAATCAGATGCTGGCTAGTGACTGCCTACTGAACGAAGTTTCTTCGAGTTCTAGTGAGAATTCGTGACCAGTGAGGTTCGTTCATCTTGTCTGGAGTGGGGAGATATACTCGCCATCGATAACATTGGCTGGTGCCGCCAATCGAGCTAAAATCACGAATCGGTAGAATAAAAAGACAGTTGCAACAAAGAAAATTTTCTTTCCGACAAAATCATCAATTAGGCTGTACATTCGTGTATTTATAATAAGCGAGTGGGAAAGTTCCAGAATAATTTCCGGTTAAGGGTCAAATTAATAAAATTACAATTAGGAATTAAAATGCCATAATAAACAGGTAGGGGGACGGATAAAACTCAAGCAAAGTAGCATCATAATTACTGAGAAGATTGACATATTGTACAATTAGTGGTTAGAAATGTAGAAATAATAAAATGACAAAAAATTGGCAGGAAGTTCGGATATGAAGGTGTGGTAGTGTAAATAAGAGGGATTAAGAAAAACTTAGAAATAACATGAATAATCAGGAAGTTTGGATAAGAAAGATAATGGGATGGTTATCACTAAGAGAATTGCTTGCTCTTGCGGAGCTGAGTACATCAGCCGTACCATGCGCCAACTTGAAAAACGCGCTCGTGAACACTATCCAGCCTGGCTATAAAAGGAGAACGAAAACGTGTGTATAGCTCAATGACAGAACATCTGGTCAATTTAGAACATTCAGCAGCATTCGAAAAATCCCTCAAAATAATTGACAAGATTCTATCAAACCTATCAAAGGGAGTGAAATTAAGACATCTGGGCATAGCCAAGGCACTAGCTATCCAAAAGCTCAAACCCACAATATATATCCAAAAGAAATATGCCCAACCCTTGTCCCTACCATGGCCATTATAAACAGCTAATTCTTTTAGTGATAACCATCCCATTATCTTTCTTATCCAAACTTCCTGATTATTCATGTTATTTCTAAGTTTTTCTTAATCCCTCTTATTTACACTACCACACCTTCATATCCGAACTTCCTGCCAATTTTTTGTCATTTTATTATTTCTACATTTCTAACCACTAATTGTACAATATGTCAATCTTCTCAGTAATTATGATGCTACTTTGCTTGAGTTTTATCCGTCCCCCTACCTGTTTATTATGGCATTTTAATTCCTAATTGTAATTTTATTAATTTGACCCTTAACCGGAAATTATTCTGGAACTTTCCCACTCGCTTATTATAAATACACGAATGTACAGCCTAATTGATGATTTTGTCGGAAAGAAAATTTTCTTTGTTGCAACTTTCTTTTTATTCCCTATAATCAAATGTGTATATTCCGTGAATCGGTAGAAGTTAGAGAATTCATGGACTGGCGATGGAGTCGGGTCTTAGTGGCCGAACGCTCTACAAGCTAGCTTGACTTGTAACCGGAAGATTCTGGCTTCGAAACCCGGTGGGTCGATGAGTCGCAAAGTGGGCTGACGAAACAGGTATCCGGTAATGCCTGGCTGGTTTTCAATGGTTCTCAAACTGATATCAATCCTCAGTGATCAAAACTGAATAACAAATCAAATCTTTACAAATCAACTCTTGAAAAATAATGATAATAATATCGAGTAATACAATAGAATTTAGGATAAAAACACGTGAGCGAGAACAATATTCTCTTCAATTTGATCTTATCAGGCTTTACAATAAATCGATATACGCATACAGTGTGTAGTTAATCACAACACTAATAGTGATTCTATTAATAAGAAAAGATGAAAAATTGAAATGTCCTGTGACAAAAAGGATGGTGAAAAGTGGAATGATTATACAGACAAATGTTCATATACACATGGTAGATAAAATCTAAGAAAAATAAATAGTCAGATTACGTAATGCTAGATTGTAAGGGGAGTGAATAAACTATGTTTTAATAAAGATGCAAGATGGCTGAAGAAGCAGGCAGACAGCGAAGACACGACTGACTCCAGGTGAACACAGTGAAGACGGAGGTGAGGAAGATAACTAACCAACACCAATCAGCAACAACCGGAGAAATTTGAAGGAGTTTACTTCCTTCACTTTTCTAGGAAGTATCGTTTCAACTGCAGGCAGTCGGAACGGATGAAGACGTCACAGCCAGCCAGCCAGCCAGAATCGAAAAGATAAGTGAGATAAGCCTTCATCAATCCGAAATCAGTTTGGAAATATTCTGAACTCAACCAGACAGCATAAAGAACAAGATTCGGATTGTGTTCAACACCAATGTGAGGTTAGTTAGTCAGTTTTTCTATACGGGTCAGAAACTTGGCGTGAGCGTCATGAAAGTGATTTTCAACAGTCAATTACAGACTCTTATCAACAGCTGCCAGCTTCGCCGGCTCCATACTGAAGATCAAATGACCGGCCAGCTGGCCAGAAAGAATTAGCAACAAGAAACTCTGGCGATGAGGCAACCAACAAAGCAAGAGCCGAATGGAGATGGACTGATTGGGCATACACGCCACTGAGGAGACCGTCGAATGACATCACGCGTAATGCGAACCCAGGACCTAACGATTACAAGGCGAACTAGCTCGTAGACCATTAAGCCAATGGGACCCAACTCAATGTCCAACCCATGAATTCCAACTTCTGCCAATCGACGCACGATATAGCGCGACTGGCACTAGCCAATGTCATCGTTGGCGAGTATTTGTCCTCACACCCGACCTGCTTTACCCCATTGGACTGAACAAATTAGATTATACAACTTACCTGTGAATTATGCTGGTACTTTGGTGTAGGTATTTCCCATTTCTTCATCACTGTTTTATTCTTCTCATTGAGTATAGTAATCACAGAACAATGGATCTCTAATAATTTGTTCAGTGTAAGATCATGATCCCAACTGATCAGTGTAGGTAAATTCAAATGCTGACAACACTTGTCTAAACGTGTTTTTAAACGTAGAATTGATGAATTCTTGTTAAAATTTTCAAGATTTGTTATACTCAAGTGTAATTCCAGTGCTGTGAACACTTCTTCCAAACAGCATGACCATAAATGTTGAACAGCTAGTACAGCAGATAAATTCCCGTGTAGTAGTGCACCTTCTAGACAAAATTCGCCTTGTTTACTTTGATTAGACGGTATGAAATATGCATTCGGTGCATGAAGTAAGCCAGTTCGATAAGCTGTAGCCGAAGCAGTAAAGTTGCCTTGTCTACGAAGAAGGGTAAGAAAAAATACGATAGTTATAAGAGGTGAACCATGCGAAGGATAAGCAATTCAAACAGGGTCACTAACTCAGTTTCAAAGAAAACAATATATTTATGAATTTGGAATTTAAAGGTGATCAAGCTTCATAGATATGCTCAAAACACCGTCTCTCTAAATCAGTTAGTAAGACGTTCTTTGCTGCAAAATTGCAAACGACGTTCATAACCCATAAGTTGTTCTCCATCTCTGTAGTAAAAGATAATCTCCTTCGTCTGGTCACCTCCATGTGAATCAATCAGTTCACCTGCTCTTGTGAAACAAGGGAATTGGCCGTGGCCAGACAACGCCGCTTTCCACACAGATACGAGAACATATTCCAATAGCATGGTTTTACAACGAAGAAAGTAAGTGTGTGCGAAGCTCTATTCTAGAACACTTGATCGACTCTTCTGTCACTCTACCAACCCTCAGCATGATTTTAAGATGATGACCTATCGAATCCATGCTAACTTGCCACCCGCGTTTTCTTTGTTACGAACTTCTGAAGACAGCAGAGGCCTTGGCCATTTATTCATGAATTTAAGCCAGCGAGACCTTTGAGTACAAAAGAGGTATGTCTGCTTTGGCCGTGGAGGAATAGACACTTATTTATTTATTTTGTTTATTTAGTTAATCTATGTACCTTTCCCTTATTACTACGATTATTATTATTATTATTATTACTATTCTCACTTCCAATTGTTTCCACTTGTCATTCTAAATCCAAAATGTTTTTACAATATTGAATTTTATCTTATCAAATTCCACACCATGTTATGTAATGTTTTATATTATCCTACTAACCGTATAATTACACACTCCTTTCCAACATCCATACACCTTATGTATTATTCTATATATGACATCAATTGTTTTGCCACTTGACATTTAACCTTGATTATAATCACAAATATTTTTATTTCAATTGCATTTCATACTACTACTACTATTATTATTTCATGTATTCACACCTTTGATTTAATTCCCTCACCGGATATAATTTCTCAAGGAAAACCATATATATGCACGATTGTAAAGTTTGATGATAAATTCGTTCTTGAAAAGAGTCTCTTCTCGGAATATTGTGTTCATAATAATTTATAAAAAAAGAAGGGATATCCCACAAAAATTGAGGAGTTGTGCACAAGGCTCAACCAGCTCAGAGAACACTATTAATTGCAAAGCAGGTGAATTGAATAAGAGAAATGGCTACGTCAAGTGTTGCTGCACATGTCTAGCCTAGGCATCGATCGCCTTCCTGAAACAACGGGCAATGTTAGCTGACTGATTGACATAAGATGGATCAGGTTTGAAAAGAGTTGGCTAGCGGTGGTCAAACGAAAACATGTCTTCATCAGTCAGTAAAATAAATCCACAACAGTTAGTTTAAGTTAACCAGACACGTAAGGAGGGAGGTGTAGACTTCCTGATTGACTAGTTGATGTCCTCCGGATGGTAAGAACCAATGTTGGTATCTGGAGATAATTGGTGATATGGCAGAAAATCGTTCTCAGTGATAGCTGGCGCAGATGCATTTACTCTTTGTGATGCACATCTGTGCAGAGTTCCACGTTGAGACCAGTCGGTCAGTCAGTCATAAATGGGGAATAAATGTATGAAATATAAATAATCATAATAAAAGTCAAATAGAGAAATACGGAAAGGGAGAAAAATAAAAATGCAGCAGACATACTTGAATAAGTCATTTCCTAATTCTCTATAATACTGAGCTTTTTTACTACTTTTCATAGAAACATTTCCAGAACCAAGTTCATGAATAAATGAAATTATTCTGCGTAGATCATTTGTTGCACTTTCATCAATATAACTGACAATTCGATAATAAAATGAAGCAGATGCCTTGGTAGAATTAGCCTTGACTGTGTATTGATTAATTTTCTTTGAATTAATAACTTGTTTGTTTAATAACCTTGAAGAGAGTTGTGCATCTTTTTGAACATGTTGTAATTCACTAGAAATTAATCTTGTCCATAATGTACTACTACTCACAGAAGCTGATGATGTTGATTTTGAAGGATTGCCACCATCTTCCCGATCCATCTTATCAGTTTAATTGATCACACATGTACTGGTGTCAAAGGCATAGTGATTTTGTAGAGCTTGGAAGAGGAAGAAAAAATACCACATAAAAAAATAATTAATATGAATGCAAGTTTAGATACTACTTATTTATTTAAGTAGTTAAAAACCATTGAGATTATATTTATTTTTTAATTTTATTTTAGCTTGATTCCACAGAGCATTTTGGTACAAGTATGGAATTTTCAGCATGTGATATCGGTAGCCTAAATTTATCAGACCGGACATTGATATCAGGTGTGCGTCGGTAGGGGATCGAACGGCGGACCATGTGAATGGTCGGCGAGAGTCCTAACCGCTGTGCCACCGACACACTATAGGTTAATAAAAGACAATTCAGCGAAGAGAATTTTCTTTATTGACGAAATCATCTTCAGAGGCAGTATGTACATTCGTATTTATATTTACCGCAAATATAATAATATTATTATTCCCTTGGGTCGCGAGTGGAACACAGGGCTTCAACAACACATCTCCACTTTGTGTTCTATTTTCTGCTATCCACTTTAGCTGAGCCCACGATTGCCCATAATCTGTCATCTCCTCCTCCCATCAAACTATCTCCTCCACGTCACCCTCGTACTGACGACCCACTCGTCGTTTCCCATTGGGATTCCACTCGAGCAATGGCACGCGATATCATTCGACGGTTTCCTCAATGTATGCCCGGTCAGTGCATCTCCATTTTCTCCCACATATTTGTTGAGCGATCGGCTCTTGCTTTGTTGGTTTGTTCATCACCAGAGTTTCTTGTTACTTATTCTTTCTGGCTTGCCATTTGATCTTCAGTATGGAGCGAGGACAGCTGTTGATAAAATTCTGCAACTGGCTGTTGGAAATCCTTTTCGTGACACGCAGTACAAGTTTCTGAGCCGTATAGAGAGACCGATTTGACATTGGTATTGAAAGTGCGAATCTTGTTCCTTCTACAGAGTGCAGAACATTTCCAAACTGCTTTCAGGTTGATGAAGGCGTATCTTGCCTTCCCGATTCTCACTTTGACATCTCCATCCGTTCCGTGTGCTTGTAGTTGAAACGATGCTTCCTAGATAAGAGAAGGAGGTAACCTCTGTTAGACCTCTCCCGTTGATGGTGATTGGTGCTGGTTTTTGTTGTTTCGGTTCGTATAGTATAGTAGTCCATTATTGAGTAATAGGATGTGTGTGTGTGTGATATAAGTGATATAATAATTACTCAAAATTGGCTTCAAAAGTAAAAATAAAAGTTACAAATTACGTAATACTCAACAAACGCACAAAGGAAGAAAGCGTTCAAAATTTGATAAGGTTAAAATTGTTATGGAGTGAGAAGAAAGGCGGTAGTTGAGCGTCAATTTAACAAGTGTGAAGAGGGTGAGGAAATGTACAAAAGGAACATATGAGGGTGATAACAGTGAATTAATTATTATTGCGAAAGCAAACTAATAATTAAATATAAAAATAAATATTTACAGGGAACCACTAATGAAGAGGTTAAGACCATGGTAGAATAAGAGACTGGACAAACGTTTTCTGTATACAGACTTCGGGGTTGTACTTACGAAACGCCAACGCCCCCGTCATACACAAATGCCAAAACCTGACGCATCTCTGAACATTATCCTGCATGGTTAGCAAAAGGACAATACAAGACAGTTACTAGCTCAATTCTTGAGCACTTGGTGTACTCAAACCACACACCTCCACCGACGTTGTCTTCCAAGATTATCTAAAAGGTGAAACGAAATGGTACGAAGGGCGTGTATACAGAAACAGTTTGTCCAGTCTCTTATTCTACCATGGTCTTATCCTCTTCATTAGTCGTTCCCTGTAAATATTTATGATTAGTTTGCTTTCACACTAATAATTAATTCACTACTGTCACTCTCACATGTTCCTTTACATTTATTAGATGAACACTCAACTACGTTTCTTCTTACTCAGTACAATTTTAACCTTACCAATTTTTTAACTCTTTCTTTCATTTGTGCCATTGATTATTACGTAATTTGCGACTTTTGTTTCTACTTTTGAAGCCATTTCTTAGTAATTACTTAAATTATGTCAACCCCGCAATTACTCACTAATGGACTACTATACACTTTCGGTAAATATAAATACAACTGTACATACAGCCTGTGAAGATGATTTCGTCGATAAAGAAAATTTTCTTCGCTGGCTGAATTTGTCTTTTATTTTCTTTATAGGTTAATACTGATTCACAAAATCGACATAATCTAAGCAATAGAGATGACCATCAATACACGCTGAATTTATCGGTAATGTAATTCACCTGATTCAGTATAGATGACACGACATCCTTCAAACGAATAGTCAAGAGAGTGGGTTAAAAATGCAATAGAATTGAAGAAATTGTCTTATTATCTATCACTCTGCAAGACGAAAAATTCAGATAGATGAAGTAATTTGGTACTTGGGAAAGATTTAATCCCTTAGACTTTCACATAAGGTAGAGAAAATCAATTCAAGGTAATTTTAATGTTGGCAAACTAAAAGTCTTATTTTCTACAGGACGGGTTGTGATTCCTCAGTTGGAAGATGAAGTACCTAGACTAGACTCGCCACCTCTGTACTTGTATTAAACAATTCAACTGCACTTGTGGTTCGAGAACACCTACCAAGTGTGGCTACATAAATACGTAGTGAGAAGCATCAATAGCTCGATATTAGATCACCTGGTCCGAACTGCCCAGCACTGACGAATGCTTCTCTATCATCATCTATCGGGTACCAAATAAGTTGCTGAAAACATCCATGTACCGCATACACCAAACAGCTGAGACTATTGTGATTCTCCTGAAACAACCTGTGCTTTGTATGCAGAAGATGGAAGTTCAGCTACTACTACTGCCTTGGACGGCCTTCACGGGAGACTAGAAATTGATTAATTCTGTATTATTATTTTTCCTAATTTGTCTTTCTGATATTCAATGTTGATGCCATCGAACTGTAATCCATTGGTACTATTATTATTGTTATTGATTTGACGTTATTTAAACAACGTTAATGCTGTTGTTAATAACCCAAATTCTTCCATTGATATAAGAATAAAACTTGTACACTGTGGTAGAGTACAATTCCATTATGGGTAAAATTTATTTTGATAAAGTCTCACAGTGTTATACAGTAATATTTACTGATGACCACGTTTCGAGTACAGTTTATTACTCCACATAATCAATATCAAGGTCACCTAAGCGAAGGGTGAAATTAAGAGGTTAAAAGTCATCAAAACACAAATTAACTAATAGATGTTAGTAACAAGATATCCAAGTTTTGAAGAAGGGATGGGTGAAAATTAACTACGGGATTTTTAAGATAAGTTAATTAATTCGTAGGTGTTAGCAACGAGTTATTACTTAATTAAGACTTTTGTAAAATAGCAATGATGACTAAGAAGAATACGATGACTCAAAAGAATTACGTAAAATACAAACAAGTTAATAGAATTAGCTAGAATTGTAGAAAATAACAAAGTCAAAAGGTTCGAATAAAGCTGCCATACACAGGTCAAGACTAGCTCATCTCGTCGATACCGGATATCAAATCGACTCCAACAAAGTTATTTATCGTATTCCATTCAAACTCTTACCCCATGGTCTACGGGTACAACTTTTACATGCATCAGAGGCAATCGGAATTCATCTGAACAAGCCAAATCTGTGTGTGTCAGTTCAAAAGAAGTTTGTATAGCCCCTTTCTTTGCCATACATGGTCAACTACATAATATGTATTAAGTTTTTAAAAGCGATTTTCCCCTCCACCTGTACCTATCTTTTCACTTTGTTATGTTTTACAATTCCAGCTAATTCTATTAACTTAATTGTATTTTACGTAATTCCTCTTAGTCGTTATCATTATTTTACAAATTTCTTGATTGTGTAATAATCTGTTGCTAACACCTACACTTTAGTTAATTTATCTTGAATTTCGTAATTAATCAACTTTCGCCCCTCCCTCCTTTAAAACTTAGATATCTTGTTACTAACATCTATTAGTTAATTGATGTTTTGATGACTTTTAACCTCTTAATTTCGCTCCAGTCTAGTTATACCTAAAACTGATGAACTAAAATAGCCACTTGATTGGTGACAAAAAACATTTTGATGTAAGAAACTAGAGTGAGCCGATGATGAGGAACTAATTGAGAAGGAATGCATATTTCTTCGCTCAATCTCTTGTCTTTTTTCTAAATGCGCAAATGGGAATTTGAAAATTAAATATTTGAACTATGTTCCGTGTCTGAGCAGAGACAACTACATGGTAAATGACACTTTTACCCTGGAACTGTTGATTACACACTAGAACGGGATAAAATGAAAAAACTGTCTACCCCTCAAAGAAAGAAAAACAATTAAATCGTGTGCGAGTGGAACAAACAACTTTAAGCTTTACAGTTTCAGTAGCGGTGGGTTGCCAGTCTCTCCAGTTTACGCCGTCTCTGGCTTAGTAGACGTGATATCCAGCTATCGACCAAAGGGCATGTGTACTGCTCAGCAGTTCGCTTCGTCCTCCTTTATGGCTGTGAGTGGAACATGGCCCGCATTGAAAGTGGAAGACATGAAAAGTCTGGCTAGCTGGCTGTCTTTGATCATAGGTGCCTGCGTTCTAACTCCCGTGTGTGTTAGGTGGTAGTATAATAGGGTGAGGAATATTGAGGTCAGGTCTCGGTCGAGTGCCAACTGAGTTGGAGAGGAAATCGATAGACGAGACTGTGAAGTTACAAGAATTGAGTGAGATGGTTAGGGCGTGTATTACGTATGCCTAACCATCGCTTTCCTCGACAATGGGCAATGTTAGCTAACATAGGATGGATCAGGTTGGAAAAAAGCCATTGGTGATCAAAATAAAACATGGCTTCATCAGTCAGTCAATGAAATAAATCCATAACACTTAGTTTAAGCCAGCCACGTAGGGGTGGAGGTGTAGACTTCCTGACTGGCTGGCTGGGATCCTCAGGATGGTAAGAACCAACGACGGAGGCCGGAGACAATTGGTGATATGGCTCAAAATCGTTGTCAA